AGTGTAAGCACAAATCCTCCCAGGAGCCTATGCACAAAGAGATAAAGGGGCCACTTTGCACTCCTTCTTCCTGCCGTGATTCGATTTCACAAACTGATCATTCGTCTACTCCAGACAAGACATTGGACTTGGAGACTCCAAGGATAAATAAGACCCTCATCCAAGTTTACTCTGGCTGGAGAGACGGATCTGCTGTTTGTTTGTTCCTACTGCTTGAGCACATGCAACTAAGGTCCCCCAAGCCAGAGTGTAACGTATTCTAAAGTTAGCTCTGGGCTTGCCAAGAGATGTCAGCCCTAGGAGCATTAACCATCAAGAGCAGAAAGAGGCCTGATAGATGAGGTGGTCTGCTTTTGGGGTGTCTGCAGAGAAAAGCTGTGTCCATAGTGGGAGAGTCGTTCCTATCCTTCCTGCAGCTATGAGAACCTTTAAATGAACATATAAAGATAGGAATCTTCGGGAGGGGGAGAATGGCCTCTCACCCCCAGATGCACACCTGCTGAGATGCAGGAGAAACAGGTAAGTCCACGCTGGTGCCACCAACAGAACCAAGGGTGGCGAGAGCGAGAGCTCTTGAGAGAGTGTTCTGCAAGTATGTGTGTGTCCTTTTCAGTCTTCTCACTGCACTATGGGGAGACGGGGAGGATCACTGGCATGTGGAGACTGACTTGGACTTGAAGATTGGTACCTGCTCCTGGTCCAGAGATTTCTCATGGTGGGACACCTGCTGGAGTACCCAGGCCTGCAAGGAAACCTTTACCCCATCCCAGTTCTGCAGCCTTCAAAGGGGACGGAAAAGACCCCAGTGGTTAACAATGGAAGGTCAGAGGCCACGAACAGCGCCTGGACCAAGCAATAGGAGGACCCACTTGAGAAAGGTGTGGGAAGAACTGCCATTCTCAGGAGGGAGAGGGTCCTCTGGAGGACAGGGTGATTCTCTACACAAGGACCTCTCTATGAGCAGAGGCCACCAGCATCGTGCAGAGTGCAATAGCCAGAACAAAGCCAGCACACTCCCCATAAACAACAGGTGGCCTGCTACACAAGCAGACTCTCTTCTCCCTCCAGCTGTCCTCCCAGGCTTGGGGCTGGACTAAGCCCCCACAAGGGTCCTAATGCCAGAAGGGGAGAGGAGACGTATGTGGCGAGCAGAGCATACACATGGGCTTTTGCTCAGCCCTCACCTGTGCTGGGAGAGAGGGAGAAGTGCCTGAAATGAGCTTGAACCTCAAATTTTAAAATAAGTGAAGCTTAATCGAAATTATTAGAAACCTATGAAATTTGTCTGAATGCTGCTCAGCATCACCCAACACCCAGACTGGAAGAGAGGTCAACAAAATACAATTGGTGGTGGTTAAGAAAGAAAACCAGTTCACGTGGTAAACAGGCTATGCTTCGGTTTGGCGGGGTACCGATCAACAGGTGACCAGGAGCTGTCTAGGGTGGGAGAAGCTGACCTCCTAGACTTGTACCTGCCCCTACCACTCTCTCTCTGGAAACCTTGAAGGCAGGCTCTCTGGCCCTCATGCTGTGTGATGCTAACAGTGGGTACGGTACAGCCATTGGGTCTCTAGGAACCTGGATCCCCAGGGACTGATAACATCTTTACTCATTTCAGCAAGTCCCTAAGCACCTGCCACATGCTGGGCAGAGAATATAACCATGCACAGGACCCGTCTCATCCAGCTCCCAGTGTAACTGAGGAAAGGGCTAGATACAGCGTGATCAGTGTAAGGAAAAAGCTAAGGTCTGGGGCTAATAGAGCAAATTAGGAGACACAGAGCCTGATCTTGGTGTATCAGAAAAGGCTTCTGGTAAGAAAAGCATCTCATTGGAGTACTAAAGATGGACAAGTGTTGGCCACACAAATCATGAGAAAAAATGACACCCCCAAAGAGCCACCACAAGGCCATGGGAGCCACAGTGAACAACTCAGACTTCTTCCTGGTGGCACAGGGACAACATTACAAAGTAAATGAAATGGGGAATGAGTGCTTGATGGGCATGGGTTTATACTTCGGGGTGATGAAAGTGTTCTAAAATTAGACAGTGGTTTTAGTTGCATACACTGCATGTATTTAAACCCACTAAATTGTACATTTTTAAATAGTGAATTTTATGTGAATATTACCTCAATTTAAAAAATAATGCCTGGAAGAAACTTTCAATTCCAACCAGGATGGAGTAACAGGGACCAGATTTACTCTCCTGCCTAAAGCTAAAAAACAAGACAAAATATATGAAACAAGGGCTTCCCAAAGAGTGGACATCAGGCGACAAAGGACAGCGATGCCTGAGGAATGTGAAATAAATGACGTAACAAAAAATAAAAAATAAATGAGGTAAGCCTGATAACTGTCCTCACTGACTACTTTGAGTTTCCAGGCCTCAGAGTAGGGAAGAAAGGTAGGCAGGCAGAGCCCAGTGAATTTCCCGAGTTGAAAAGACAACAGAGAGTCAGGTCAAGACAGACCAAGTTTGCAGAGCAGAGCACTGAAGAGTAGAGAGTTGCACAGAGAGAACCCTGGAAATTTGCAGAAGGTCTCCCAGTAACATACAGAAGAGCACTGATCCGTATGCATATGAGAAAACTAGCTGGAAGAATCAGAGGGAAGAATTCCTGGAGCTCACACAGGGCCAGGAATAGCTACACTGGAAAAACCTCATAATTCAGGGAACAGCAAGCAGAGTCCTAAGAGTCTGACTTCAGTAGTAGGGAGAAATTAACCCTGGGCGAAACGCTGCTCTGGTGTTGCCTAATAACCTTAAAGGCAAGTCTCAAATGAATCAAATTGCGTCTAGGTAACTTACCCATACTCCAGAACAAAGGTTAACAATATTAATAGAAATGTAAAAACACCCAGCATGAAAAAAAGTAAAATCCATGGCTGGCATGCAAAGAAGTAGGAAAATACAACTTGTGATAACAAAGAAGAAATGGTAGCAAGATAACAGCATTCCTGACTGTTGGCTCCTACTCTAAGGTACAGAATCCTGAGAGGCAGGCTCAGAGGTGGTGCAGAGAAAGGTAGAAAGCTTAGTTACAAAGGTACAAATAAAGTCTTATTTCAAAAGGGTCAGAATTTAACAAAAGAGCAGCAACCCCAACAAGATGCAAATTATCTTGGAGGAACATCTGCTTAAAGTTCTCAGTCTCAACACACATTATGCACACTGCAATCTGATTAACAGCAGATGAAAAGATCAGATCCCTGCACGCTCAGTTCTAACCCAGAGGACAGCAATTAATTGGTAAGGGACTGACTAGTCCCCTTGCTCCCAGCCGTTGGTTCCCCGTACCACAAAAGACAATTTTCCAAAGCTTCAGTTTGTGTTGCAGAGTATGAAGCCATTCATTACCACTTTTTTTTTTTTGAGACAGTTTTACTCTACCACCCAGGCTGGAGTACAGTGGCATGATTATGGCTGTTCAAGTTGTAACTTTGAACTCCTGGGCTCAAGCGATCCTCTTGCCTCAACCTCCTGCAGCTAGGACTACAGGCATATGTCACCATACCCAGCTCATTATTTTTAATTTCTTAGAGACAAGGGTGTCACTACATGGCCCAGGGTGATCTTGAGCTCCTGGGATGAAGCAGTCCTCCCACCTCAAACTCTCAAAGTGCTGGGATTACTGGCATGAGCCACTGTGTCCAACCTATACTTCGCTTTTCTTAGCAGCCCTGTTTTACCTGAGGATGCTAAACCTAATACTGTCCCCTAAAGCCAAGTGCCCTAGTTGTCTTATGGTATTATATTCTCCTAGAAGTCTGCCTTTCTACTAATTCCAGAAAGTCACACTGATTAAGTTATATTTAGAAGATAAAAAGTTTAAGTCAGGATAAGTGGTTGTAGGTGTTCTTAGTATTTCATGCCTAGTATCTTTCAGCTTCCTCCAATAATAATGGCAAAGGGTTCACATTCTAACTTGACGATAGAAGCTACTGATATATCGAAGGAAAGACTTCCTATATAACTTAGCACCAAGCAAGGGTCAAATTCAGGTCCATACAAGGCCCAAGCAAGTCAAGTGAGTTAAGCAGGCTAGGTCTGAGAAGAGACACAAAAAGTAAAAGGTTCACTTCAGTTCTCACTAAGGCCATCTAAGGCAGGGTCTGTGAGATGAAAGCCTACACTCCACCTAAAAGGCAGCCACCAGCAACCCACCTCTCCAGCCCCAGGAGGAATTGAATAGAAACAGGATCTACTATGGACACATCTCTCTTCAACAGAATCTCCAAAGCCAGATTGGTGAAATAGTGGGATTGTAAATAGTGGAAATGATGAAGGCTTTTAAAATATCATCTACCCCCACCCTCAGAAAGAAAACCTATGAACAACCATTTGCAATCTCTATTTTGATTCCAACCTCAGAATTTAGATCAAAATGCCAGCTCTATCATTTTCTAGCTCGTCACACCTTTGGCAAATCGATAAACCTCTGAACCTCATTGTCTTATCTGAAAAATTGTGTCAAATATTAAACATAATGTTTCTCAAATACTAATATCCAACACAAGGTAAACAACTAAATACAGTTTCCTATAGGTGGAGTCTGGAACTTATTATCAGTAAATTACCTGCAGTGATCTTTAAAGAACCTAATTGAAGATCGCAAGGAGGTTGAGTTCTTAGAAGATTTAGAGCCTTTCAATACTGAGTATTAAAGTCATTAGAAACTAAGTAGAACCAGCAATAAAGAATGCCTAGCAACACATACTTAATGAGTTGGAAGTAGCTCTTCTAATTAAGAGATCTAATAACTGTCACTCATTAATGGCCACAAAACTCAATATAAGTACACATTGAGAAGGATACTTTTCAGAGAAAACAGTGGTAGCTTCTAAAATAAGCTGTTAAAACAAACCAAAGGGATTTAAGTTTTTAGAAATCAGACAAATCTCTTGTCACATCATAGACTCTTGGGTTAAACACCTCAGCTAGCTATCATATTGGTATAAGTAACCTCCATGGAAGAGCAATCACAATACTAGGAAGAATCTGTTAAAGAATGCTTTATTAATACAAATACAAACTCTAAAGCACTAAGAAATTTAAATATCTATGTCACAGCAAACAGGTGGCAATTCAACATCCAGGGTCGACAGAATGCTTGAAGGAGACTGCAACAGATCTAGAAAACAGGAATCTTATTAAATTTCTGCAAATCCTTGAGTCATTGTTCATATCAACAGACATTAGCTGTCAATCAAAAACTCATGTTATTCCCTTTGCCTAATGAATCACCTGCAACCCCCTCTTGATATGTACTTTTTGGAATGTGTCTGTGGCCCCAGAATTGACTTTCATTAGGAAGTTTTAGAAGTATCTGAATCTCTATTGTTCTTAGAGACCAAAGAAAGAGCTAACAATGTCACTAATGCAACTTATTAGCACGAATTATCCCACAACAGAACAAATAATGAAATATATGATGAAAACATAATGATGGCTTTGACTAACAGTTCAAACTAATACCTGAAACCTTCTGTAGTAAGAAATTATTGTCAGTCTGTGCTGCAGCACAGGTGTTTTGATCTTACACTAGCTTTAGATAGAACATGGAATCATCAGTCCAAACAAGTTTATTATATATGCTTCAACTTACAGCCTAAGAAGATACAAATGAATTCATCTATTTGCTGTGGCTAAAACTATCCAGTTTCCAGAATAACAATTGCACTGGGGCATTTGGGACTAAAAAGTCATACCAATTGAGAATAGTTTATTTTTCTGAATGTTATCCTTGTCATTTGAAGGACAGAAATTACTCACAGGCTAACTTCCCGCACAACTCTGTTCCCAAGGTAATGAAAGTGTTATGAAACAAATTGTTTGCAGCCCTTCTAGAAGGGCACTTGCTCACTTACTGGATTCCCATGGTGGAGAGGGCATCTTCACAGGTGAAGGAGGGCCCAGCTGAAACAGCTTTTCAAGCTCTCTCTCCTCGTCAAGGATCATAAGAGGCACTCCACTCAAGGGTAGGCGTGCAATCTGGTGTTCTTCAGGCAGGTCAAAACTCTCAAAGTCTGTGACAGAGAGAAAGTGTTTTTGTCGGGGCAGCAGTTCTTAGCATGCGCTGTAGACCCCTGGTGGTCTGAGACCCCTTTCAGGTGGTCCATGAGGTCAAAACTAGTTTCATGACAACATTCACACCTTTTCCCACAGGGCTGACATTTGTAATGATGGCCCAAAGGCAATGGTGGATAAAGCTGCTGGTACCTCAACACAAATCAAGGTAGTGACAATAAAGCATATTAGCAGTCTCCATGTTCTCCATCTCTCTTCACTTGTAGTTTAAAAACGCCAGTTTCACTTAATGTCACTTCACCACATGCAGTAAGTATTAATTTTATTAGTTCTCCATCCTTGAGAAAATGTCTTTTAAATGTTCTGTGTGATAAAATGAGAAGTATGCCATAAACCACTTCCACTGTACACCAAAATATGATTATCTCAAAGCGAAACGATTTGTGCAATCATCTGAGTTGCAAGCTAAAACTAGAGAACTTTTTCCTGGAATACTGTTTTTACTTGAACTGCAAGAAATCCCAGGGTCACTCAGACCTGGATACTTGTCACACATTTTCTCAAAGGAATGAAAGAAGTCTATCATCTCAAGGAAAACTGAGAGTCTTTGTTACCAATGACAGAATATAAGATGTCAAAATTTTGCCAAAAACAAAGGAATTTTTTTTTGAGATGGAATCTCATTCTTTCACCCATACTGCAGTACAGTGACACGATCTCCTTAACTGCAATCTCCAGCTCCTGGGTTCAAGTGATTGTCCTGCCTCAGCCTCCCAAGTAGCTGAGATTACAGGTCCAGCTAATTTTTGGTTTTTTTAATAGAGACAGGGTTTCACCACGTTGGCCAGGCTGGTCTTGAACTCGTGACCTCAGGTGATCTGCCCACCCTACCTCCCAAAGTGCTGGGATTACAGGTGTGAGCCACTATGTCAGGCCAAAAAAAGGAGTTTTGGAAAACTTATCTGCAGTCATTAGCTTGACAGGTGCCTTGGACTTTCCTGATGAGATCAGTTTGATATTAATGCTTTTAATATTGTATAATAAAGCACTTCAACATGGGTTATCTACATATCTCAGTGAATCAGTATTTCTGAATGATCAATGCAAGGCAGATATGAGAATAAGAGATACATTCCAAGTGCAAAATAGACAGATAAAGCAAATTTTCAAAAATATAAACCATGCCATTCTTCTCAGAACTTTTCCAAAACAAAAAATATTTCATATTAAAAAGTTTTCATTAATGTAATGTGATTAGTGAATAAATATCTTAAGTTTCTCAGTTTTAATTTCTAATATAGAAAAGAGCAGGTCATACAAGCAAAAGTGGTCTTCAATAATTTCTAAGAGTATAAAACCAAAAACAAATTGAGAACCACTAGGTTAGGTAACATTCCTTCCTAAAATCCAAGTACCTTACTTCTTAGCAACTTTTTCTTTTTCAAGATGGAGTCTTGCTCTGTCACCCAGGCTGGAGTGCAGTGGCATGATCTTGGCTCACTGCAACTTCCACCTCCCAGGTTCAAGCAATTCTCCTGCCTTAGCTCCCGAGAAGCTGGGATTACAGGCACCTGCGACCGCACCTAGCTAATTTTTGTATTTTTTGTAGAGATGGGGTTTCACCATGTTGGCTAGGCTGGTCTCAAACTCCTGACCTCAAGTGACACCCCGCACCATCACCCCTCATCCCCTGGCCTCCCAAAGTGCTGGAGATTACAGGCGTGAGTCACTGCATCTTAGCAACTATTTAAAGCAAGCAATTTTTCTGTACAGTAACAAAAGTTAATTTAATATGGAATTTTCTTTTCAAGGAGATTAAGCGTTTTCTCAAAAGATTAGAAAATCATAGTTCTCCTTATCTTTGTCCTTAGTTGTGAAAGTTCTCTAAAGCCTAAGTACTCAAGAATTAGTTTGCTCTGGGCCGGCACAGTGGCCCACACCTGTAATCCCAGCACTCTGGGAGGCCACGGGGTTGGGGGGGGTGTCACTTGAGGTCAGAAGTTTGAGACCAGCCTAGCTAACATGGTGAAACCCCATCTATACTAAAAATACAAAAATTAGCCAGGCGTGGTGGTGGGTGCCTCTAATCCCAGCTACTAGGGAAGCTGAGGCAGAGAATTGCTTGAACCCAGGAGGTGAAGGTTGCAGTGAGCTGAGATTGCGCTATTGCACACCAGGCTGGGCAACAGAGCGAGACTCCCATCTCAAAAAAAAAAAAAAAATTAGTCTGTTCTTTTTGAAGCCTGGTTATAACCAGACGTCAAAAAGGAATTGAATGATATGTGACTATTTAACTTAAAACCACTGAATTGTAAAGGAAACCATAAACAGGCAAAAAACTCCAGAGGAAAGAAGTCTGCATTATATATAAGGGGAGCTAACTTTATCTACAAAGAGCTCTTTAATCAGAGAAAAACACAAACAGGAAGTTAACAAAAAAAAAGCAAAACTATAAGAGGCCAATAATCAAATATGCTCATCACACGCACAGTAAATTTAAAATAATGAAATATTTCTGATCAAGATTAGAGTTTTAAAACACTGATATTTCGTGAACATGGAAGAAGCAGGCATCTTCATTCACTGTAGGTGGATTAAACAATTTACACTATTTTGAAGGGCCACTTATCAATATCTCATTTCTCAAACAGGATATTGTGGTCTTCATTATTGATCAATATGCATAAATCTATTTCAAGATCCTTAATGGCTGAATGGTAATTATTAGTATGGATGCACCACATTTTATCATTTTAAAACTTAATTACACATGTCCTTGAACTCAGCAATCCTCAGTTTCCCTCCTGATGTACTCTCAAACTTGTGACAAGATCATTTCAAGAATACTAATTGTAGCCGGGCGCGGTGGCTCAAGCCTGTAATCCCAGCACTTTGGGAGGCCGAGGCGGGTGGATCACGAGGTCGAGAGATCGAGACCAACCTGGTCAACATGGTGAAACCCCGTCTCTACTAAAAATACAAAAAATTAGCTGGGCATGGTGGCGCATGCCTGTAATCCCAGCTACTCAGGAGGCTGAGGCAGGAGAATTGCCTGAACCCAGGAGGCGGAGGTTGCGGTGAGCCGAGATCGCGCCATTGCACTCCAGCCTGGGTAACAAGAGCGAAACTCCATCTCAAAAAAAAAAAAAAAAAAAAAAAAAAAAGAATACTAATTGTAGAAATGTTTTTAGTTTCTAAAAGCCAGAACAATCTGAATGCATATTAGTAAAATAATAACTAAATGACCTCTTTGGCTAAAGAAAAGGGTACAAGATCCAGCTCAGAAATCTGTAAGGCCCTGCCTGATCTGCCCCTACACCTCACCTGTATCCTCCTTCACTCTGCCTGTATTTTTCCTAGAACCACCTCAGTCCCTTTTCCTGTCTCAGGATCTTCGCACCACTTTGACCTACAATGCTCTTTTTCCTGGCTCACAATCACAGTAAGCTGACTTGTCCAGCATTTGACTTTCCCTTCAAATTATGGGCTCCCATAGGCAGAGCCCATCTTGTTAAACACTGCGTCCAGCATCTAATGGTGCCTGGCACACGGTAGCTTCTCCTCAAATGGTTGAGTAAATTAAAGCTTGAAAAGCTGTTTCCAAAACAGAAAATACTTTAGATACATGTAATGGGTTGAAGAAATCTGAAAAACACGTCTTCACTGTTTTATGAAGAATTTTCTAACCAAAGAAATAATCCTACCGAAGTATTCTCAGGCATTGTTCAACTTGACATATAGCTCGCTTTCTAAAAAACTTGTGAGAAAGACTGTCCACACAGTAACTCACTCAATGTTAATGAATACATCTTACTTCCTCTAGGTAATAAGCTTTGACAGACAGGAACAATGTCTTCTACATCTTCGTTCCTATTCCCCTCATGACCTAAGATGATACCTTGCAAATAATTCCATCAACAGGTACATTTGTCCAAAGCAACCCAGATTCAGACAGTCTCATTATAGTTTTTGGTCATATATTATATTCATATCAAGTTACAGCTGATCTGAATACTAAGAAACTAAAGGCCAAAAGCAAGTTTTCACAATTGCAAAAGATACTACCTAGAGGATTGAAGGGAAAAAATTTTTCTATTTCTGGATAGGCATCATCTGAGGCAGGAACAGAGCTTTTTGCTTTAACAGTCTTCCCAGTCATCTAGAACAACCAAAGAAAATATGAGTTAGTGAGAGTTGAAGTATTATCAGCTGATTAGTTTTTAAATCTGTCAATTTCATGCTGCCTTCTAAGAAGCCATAATCCTTAGTTTTCCTAATTACACCTAAATATACTTCAAATAATAGGATTCAAATGTAATTCGAGCAGCATGACTTAAAAGTTAAATCTGAAATTTAAGTATCAGCACCTGTCAGCATAAGTTGTCAAGAATGCAGTTAATTCAGAGCTAATCAACACAATTATTCAACCTAACAGAAGAGAAAATAGGCATGAATCACCCAGCACAGTAGCTAATCATCAAAACCATTTTTGGCTTATGGGAGTATGATTTTTTCCGTGTTACCTTAATTATTTGCTTGGTTAATATTAAAAACAAGTTTGTGTTCCTCAAATACACACACTGAGTAAGAGGCAGCAAGACACTGTCAAGACTTTATAAAAACACCATGGACAATCCCCTAGTCTGGAGTTGACAGGTCTACTACCATCTACTACAGAAGCGTGCCGAAATGGAAGCCTGTATGTTCCTGATTTATCTCACCTCACATATGCATGCCTAGAACTCCCTGTGGGGTTCTCACACTTCGGTACTGTGTCTTACTGCTTTTCCAGTATCTTTGCAATTCCTGTATTTAATATTTTTAATTCACTTTTAAAGAAGACGTCCTAATTTGCACATGTAATTCACTAGTTGTTTCCTAGTGCAAATATTTTTTTAAAAACTTTTTTCTGTGTCGCTTGTGCTGGAAAAGAAAAAGTGTTTCAAATACAGCGTCAATCCACATGCTAACTTCATCTTTCACAGCAAAGTCCTCTGGGTCTGGGATACACAGGCCTGTAGCTTGTGACCCACACTCGAAAAAATCAACATGCTAGCAAACTGTCACCTAACAAGCTGCTGCTTGCTCTGGAAAGCTAGGAGGAGAATGGCAGCACCTGTGATATTACAGCAGCAACAGCACCTCCTCAACTACCCTCCTGTCTCAGCATGTGTCTCTAAGTAGATAACAACAACCAATCTGTTTCAGGACACTAGTTAAAAACAGGTGAGGCGGCCAAGCGCCGTGGCTCTAGCCTGTAATCCCAACACTTTGGGAGGCCGAGGCGGGTGGATCACGAGGTCAAGAGATCGAGACCATCCTGGTCAACATGGTGAAACCCCGTCTCTACTAAAAATGCAAAAAATGAGCTGGACATGGTGGCACGTGCCTGTAATCCCAGCTACTCAGGAGGCTGAGGCAGGATAATTGCCTGAACCTAGGAGGCGGAGGTTGCGGTGAGCCGAGATCGAGCCATTGGGGTTGCAACGCCGAGATCATGGGTAAAAGTGTGCATGAAAATCCGTCTACAACAAAGGGAACAAAAAAGGGAGGGTGAAAAGGAAAACTAAGTTAGCGAGAAGGGGCGAAGGATAGCGACAGTAATCAGGCTAATAGCGTGCAACTGGTTTGGCAGTATGCAAACATACTCTGTACTAAGGCGGCACGAGGCGAAAAGACGGAGGATTTCACTGTTGTGTGATATCAACACATGGGGACGAACTGGGCTATCCAGATTAAGCTGGTATAAACATTATCAAGCGGGGCAGGATGGTGGTGGAGAAGTACTTATACATGGGCAACAAGCGCCGGAGAATCTAAACGATCTTACCACTTCTAACACACGCATTGGGGAGAAGCATGGACAGAGCCAAGGGTCGGCTAAGGAGGGAAGGGGCAGGGCACAGGGAGGTAGATGTAGGAGAGATAAGGGTGTATACCACACTACATGGTGAGTAGATAACGCTGTGGGGGGTCCGTCTGTGGCTCTGTAAGGGATAGTGGAGGATCAAGTATGGGATGACCCCGACACTAAGGTGATGGGCCGCTATCGAGTATGGTTGTTGGTGTGAGGGGTACAGTGGGCGCTGGGAAGCCGGGAGGTGCGCCCGTGAAGGTGAGAGCGATTTAGCGTTGACAGATCGAAGACAAAGATAGTACTATAAGGGCGATAGAATAATGAAAGTGCGGGCGCTTGGTGAGCAGGCCGTGAAATCGGGGAAACACACACAAGATAATACATGATTGTGGGGGTGTGTTTCAATGTACAGGCTTTATGCTTAGTGACTAGATTGAGACATTGAGTAGGCAGGGAGATTATCAAGGAGGAGAGGATAGTAGAGGCCGGCAGATAAACAGGTTGTGTGGGCGCGCCGCGGCGTATAGGCAGACGTATTTTCGAGGGACCTCCGGTTGATATGGTGTATCTCGTGGCTGCTATAGCTGAGACCTCTGTCCTAGTGACCCGTCTCCTAATACACTAGGCTGCTGTTCCGCGTGCCTGTAATCCCAGCTACTCAGGAGGCTGAGGCATAAGAATTGCCTGAACCCAGGAGGCGGAGGTTGCGGTGAGCCGAGATCGTGCCATTGCACTCCAGCCTGGGTAACAAGAGCAAAACTCCGTCTCAAAAAAAAAAAAAAAAAAAGATATAGAAAATGAAAAAGGACCAATAACAAACTTGACTCTGATTGCCCACAAAGTACACGAAATTGTCTCGTCCAGCTCCAGGCCATGTTCACAATATGAGTGTATCTGACTGCAGCCTTGTATACTTACAAGGTCTAGACCCCAGCTTCAGCCCATCCTTAGCAGCCACACGGGTGCCTGTTTCTCCATTTTCCTTATCAACATAGATCAGAGTAGCCATTCTGGATTATCCTAAAAATGAGAAACACATATTAGATACTGGGGAAGGTGCGAGAAGCTAAGGTACAGCAACAGTCCAAACTTTCTATCCTAGGGATGTTCACACAAAAACGAGAGCTAAACAGAGGGACAATACAATGACGGGCTTCAGCCAACAAGCACTTCATCCGGCTCTTAAATCTTCCAGCCTGAGTCAGAGGTTCTTAGGTCCTGAGGAAGCAGGCGGTTTGGAGCTGGCACTCATCAGAGGGGAACTGCCGCGGGTCCAGTTCTCAATCCGAGACCGCGCTCCTAGGGGCTCGGAGCCATCTGCGCCCCGGGCAGTCCCCCAGCCCCAGCCCACCTCCTTCGCCGCCCGACCCGGTTCGCCCTACCAACCTGCGACCCTCCCGTTCACACACGCCGCTCTCAACAGCCACCTTCCTCTGAGCTCGCAGTGAACGGACGCCGCGCACTCCCGGTTTAAACCACAACTCGCGGCCCAATTGGCTCTTCCGCCCAGGAGGCGGGGCAGGGGGCGTGGTCACCAAGCAGAACCAATGGGGGGATCTAAGCAGCCAGGGCTCCTCCCCAAAAGCTCTTTTCTGCAAACTTGCTGCACGTTTTCGGTGGGGGCACAACCAGTGTTGTGCCTAAAGAATACTAGCAGAGAAGAATTTAAAATTAAAAAGAAACGTAAGTACAGAGAGATCAAACAGCAGCGTTTGAGTCATTCTGTTATGCTTATGATTCAGAACAGACTGATGATTCCCTAATCTTAGGACTATCCTCTATACTTCAGGCTAAGATGCTGTTTCTATCATACCATCACAAATCTGCCTTAGGAACAAAATGATGATTCTAATGAATACATAATTTAGTCTCCCCTTAAAATCCTATCATTTAATAGTGATTTATTTTAAACCTCTAACATCTCAGGAATATATTCCAAAGCTGCCTGGAAGGGCTTGGCCAGGGAGCAAGAGAACATCAGAGAGATAATAAAGATATAAAAAAGGAATTCCAGTTTCCCAGATATGAAAATAAATTTTGCTTGAAAAAGTTAATGACCTTTTCCTGTTTCTATAGTAAATTGGAATATATTGAACAACTAGTAGATAAAGGTTCAGATTCAAAAGATCAAGGCTGACCTGTGTCATTCAAACTCTGCTTCCCAAAGGTCACCATATATACATTTAAACCTGCAGATCAGCTGAGAGAGAGGAGTTGATTCCATATTACTGTTTCACAAAAGGTTTAACACTATACCTGACATAGACATGGTTCTCAATATATGCCAGTTCATCACCTCTTCTTCCCTGGCATTTCAGGACCAAAATTGATTGAATGATTCATTCATTCATTCACAAATATTTATTCAATACCTATTAAATGCTGGACATTATACTAGGTATCAAGATGAAAAGAGCCTAAGTGAAGAAAAGAGGAAAGACAGAAAAATATGCATACCTTTACTGTACCTTCACTGTCCTCTTTTCTTTATCCCTATCCCTTATTTCTTCCTGTATCTCCTAAATTTTACATCATCATATTATATTATCAGCACTCAAAGTGTAAGTTTTTGTGACTAAATCTGTACAACACCTATAGCTTCCAAGTGGAGATTCTCTTTCTACAAAGGTTTTGGAGTGCAAGGTTTATCTCCTTAGGGTGTCTTCTATTTTCACCAGCAGAAAGCATTTTCTCCCAAGGTCATGCAGCAGCTGTAAACTATAACCACCCTCTCTTTGAATAACCACTATTTTCTTACTAATGATGCCCCCAGACCAGCTTTGCTATTTCTATTACTGGAGATACTCAGTTGCTAACCCACCCTCACTCATAACAGCACTTAGTCCCTAATCAGTTTCTCCTAATCCTGCTTTACAAACAGCAATCCATCCAGAACCAATCCCCGCTTTCCTAGATGTTCCTTAGAACCCTCCAGAGGGACCTCAAGTCTTAGAAAAGGTTGAACTCTCTTATCCTGAGCATTCTGATTCCTCTTCAAGATGTGCTCTCCTGGTGGTTCTGGCTAATTAGGCCTTAACACTCCTAAGCAAATTTCAGGAATATTTTTAAGTGGAAAAAAGCAAAGCCTGCGTGATTCATTGACTCTACTGCCTTATGTTCTCACAGCACCTGGTATTCCTTTCATAACAACTTTTTACAACTGCTAAATTATCTGAATAGTTGTTTTGGTGTCTTTCACACTCTGGTGTAAATTTGAGGACAGACACTATGTTCACCAAAGCTCCAGCATGTTATGCTAGTCTCTGACTCTATTTCTTCACCTACTGCCTTGTAAAAGCAAAATTAAGCAGAGTCTTGCTCTGTGCTGGGCTAGAGTGCAATCTCCGCCTCCCAGGTTCAAGTGATTCTCCTGCCTTGGCCTCCCAGTAGCTGGGATTACAGGCGCACACCACCACATACAGCTAATTTTTGTATGTTTAATAGATAAGGAGTTTCACCCTGCTGGCCACGATGGTCTCGATCTCCTGATCTCGTAATCCGCCCACCTCGGCCTTCCAAAGTGCTGGGATTACAGGCGTGAGCCACTGCTCCCGGCCACAAAATTAACATTTATGTTCCTAAATTCCAGTATTGCAAATTTTTTTTTTTTTTAAGTTGGAATCTTGCTTTGTCGCCCAGGCTAGAGTACTTACTATGGAGTGATCTCAGCTCACTGCAATCTCCACCTCCCGGATTCAAGCCATTCTCAGTGTCTCAGCCTCCCAAGTAGCTGGGACTACAGGCGTGCACCAACTCGCCCAGTTAATTTTTGTATTTTTAGTAGAGACAGGGTTTCACTATGTTGACCAGGCTGGTCTTGAACTCTGGACCTCAGGTGATCCATCCACCTCGGCCTCTAGTGCTGGGATTACAGGCGTGAGCCACCGCGCCTGGCCTGCAAATTCTTAGTACAGAAAAAACAGATTTGTATTATGTTGAGCTATTTTATTGAGGCAGGGATGGTAACTATTTTAACTTTTACATTCAAAAAGGACACACGTTATGGGGGAAGAGGCAGAGAACAACCAGAATAGATAGCACACACACACACACACACACACACAATCACAAGAAATTCTACCACCAACATTAATTTTCCAGTATTTTATTTCACATGCATACTTTTAAAGGAGGGATGGGATAGCATAGATACTAATGTTTCTCCAAAATGGAAATCGTCGTTTTTTTTCTAATGATAACATGCCTTATGTTCTCACAACACCTGATATTCCTTTCATAGCAACGTTTTACAACTGCTAAATTATCTGAATAGCTGTTTTGGTGTGTTTCGCACTCTGATGTAAATTTGAGGAAAGGCACTATGTTCACCAAACCCCCAGCATGTTACACAGCCTGGCTACTAATTAGTACCAATTTTAACTGGGTTTTTTTTTTTTTTTTTTTTTTGGTAGCTGATACGTCACCAACTTCCCCATTCATTTCATAGTCCCCTAGTGAGGCTTAAGCTGTTGTCTGTTCTGGATATTAAAAAAAAAAAAAAGTCCTAAAATTCTCCGATTCTAAAAGAAACGAAAGTTCCTAAACAGAAGCCAAAAACAAACTGCCTAACTTGAATCTCTCCACAACCCGGGTAAAAAGCGCGACACGCACACGCGAGAATGGTGCTTGAGCACCCGAGGCCCCCCGCCCACTCCAGGAAATTACTGCGCATGTGCCGTTCATCCGGAAGTTGTCTCAGTGGCTGCCGGAAGAAGGCGGAAAGCCGGAAGTAAACATTAGATTACCGGAGCTTCTGTTGGATGGAGTTGGGGTCGGCTTCTGCGGGACTGGGTAAGAAAATGTTCGTAGAACTTGCGGGCGAAGGGCAGTTGAGGAACCAAAGAAAATGGATCGAAGGCCTTTAATTACTGGATCTGTCCTCACGGGGGTGATGAGCCCCCGGGTGTGGAGGGAGCGAGGCCCGGGGACCGAGAAGGAAGCCGCTGTCCTGAGACGCATTCGTGGCACTCGTGCCCGGCCGGACCAGGCCTGCATCTTCAGGGGAACAGTCGGGATAGCTATGAGTGTCGCCTTTGTGGCGGTGGTTTTAAGTACGCCTCGGAGACCTTGAGCGGTCCCCGGACTGCCAGCGAGAAAAGCTACTTCCAGTACCCAAATTTACAGACTATTTCCTCGCCAGAAAAATTTCCTTGAGCTTCAGTGTTTTCTGTTAAGTCGGGATGATCTGACTTCAGTAAATTATCATGAGGGTAAAATGAAAACATCTATGTAAATAAAGCGTTAAATAGTGTCTTACGGTAAGCCCACAGTAAGTGGGAGCTGTTACTGTTATTAGTTGGAGAAAATAAGCCACTCCACAGCGACAGAAACTAATGAGTACAACTTAGTGACTAAAATACTTTATTCATCTTAGATCTTAGTATTTCAGACCCAGAAGCCAGTTTGGAGACACAGAGCCAAACCATAACAGACATGATATGATCAGATTTGTGTTTCGAAAAATTAACACTGTCTGCAATGTGGAGAATTGATCAGAGGAGACCAGTAAGTAGGAAAAAGTAATAACTTACACTAGGGTGGCAGCAGTAAGAATGGAAAGAACTAGATGCATTTGAATGATATTCAAAAAGTGAAAATAGCGGCTCTTAGTGATTAAATAGATGTAGGGATAAGCCGAAGCACTTAATGTAAAGGGATGGATGGTGTTGTCTTTCCTTAAGATAGGGAGAACAGTAGAAGGAGATTAGATTTCAAAAGGAAGGTCAGGTCATGAGATTGAATTAAGATGTACTGAGTTTAAACGTCTCTGACCTCTAAGTGGAGATGTCAAGTAAGCAATTGGTTATATATATATGAAGCTCAGATGAAAAGTCTTGAATAGAAAAGTAAATTGTTCCTTTATTATTTTTTATTTTATAGAAAAATTGGTTGGAGAGCCAGCAGTGATGTACTGTGACCATCGAAGCCTTAGAAGTGAATGATCTTGTCCATTAGTGGGAGTTTAGAGTGGTTTAAAAGTTGCCGACTGTGCCTTGAGGAATCAAACATTAAATAACTGGGCAAAATTTGATGACAAGAGAGGTACAAGAAAAACCAAGAGACCAAGAGGGCCTGGCACGTTGGGTCACGCCTGTAATCCCACCACTTTGGGAGGCCAAGGTAGGCGGATTGCCTGAGATCGGGAGTTGAGACCAGCCTGGCCAACATGGTGAAACTCCGTCACTGCAAAAAATATGGAAAAAAAAAAAATTAGCCAGATGTGATCGTGGGCACCTGTAATCCCAGCTACTCAGGAGCCTGAGGCACGAGAATTGCTTGAACCTGGGAGGTGGAGGTTGCAGTGAGCCGAGATCACGCCATGTACTCCAGCCTGGGTGACAGAGTGAGACTCTGTCTCCAAAAAAAAAAAAAAAAGAAAAGAAAAGAGAAACCAAGAGAATGTAGTGTCAGGGAAGTCAAGAAATAATATGTAAAAAGGGAAGGAACAGAACTGAAAAATGTCCATTAGATTTAGCACAATGGTCCTTGATGACTTAATGTAACTCTTTTCTTTAGAATGTTAGGGAGTTGGGGGCTAAGTTTGAGTGAGGATGAAAGTAGAAGATGAGGAAATGGAGACAGCGAATATAGATGACACTTGAGATGTTCTTTCTTAAAGGGGTACAAAGATAGGACGCTCTTTTCTCTCATTCGGAGTTACTGTGTTAGAAAAGTTTGAGACCAAAGGATTCAGGATATATATGAGAAAAAGAGTCCTGTGACATTTTAAATACACATGTATGTTTCTCTCCATCTGTAAATTGGAGCTGTTGGAGAAACAGTGCTAACAGTATATAGAGACCTTGAGGAGGGGAAAGAGACCCTTCCTTACATATGAAACAGTCTGTATTATTAGGATGTATTTTTAGTAGTTTGAGCGAACTCATGAAGGCATACTTTTTACTGTAAATTTGACTTCTTTTCTTAGAGAAGGCCAGGTAGCCATGTCAGCCACAGCTGTAGATGCAGTTAATGCTGCACCCCTAGTGGGGTCCAAAGAAATGAGTTTGGAAGAACCAAAGAAGATGACCAGAGAGGACTGGAGAAAGAAGAAGGAGCTAGAAGAACAGCGAAAACTGGGTAATGCTCCCGCCGAAGTTGATGAAGAAGGAAAGTATGTACTTAATTTTTTGTATGATCTGTTCATTCAAAATTTAAATTCATGTCCACTTAGTTTATTAATTTTCCATCCTTTTGTTTGAGAGGAACCTACCTTCATCATGTATGTCATTTTTGTTTTTATTATTTATCAAACTCATGCATATGGTTTAATAATGAAATTATGTTGAAGGGCTTATAATGAATAGCAACAGTCCGTTTTCACCCTTCCCACCCCTGACCTGCTCTACAGAAGTGACTGCTGTTAAATCTTTCTAGTTTGAGTTTTTCTGGTTGTTACCTTCACATCTCTAGATAATACCCACCCAGTTATCTTAATTAACTGTAGACATTATTTGAACCAAAGCTTCTTGTGACAGAAGATTTAGATTACTAACACACATCTCTATTTTCTTTCCTCTCTTCTTCCCCTTCAGTTATATCACTATTCTTAGTTTCTAAGTTGGAAATATTTTCACTATAAAATTATTTCTTTATTTTTAATTATTCTTTATTATAGTATAGAGATAGCAACCATATGCTCTTCCCCACCACTACAATATTTCTATTCTTAGATTTTGTATAAACTACCTTTGTAACCATAATACTGATTATTTTCCAACTTTATTCTTAAATATATTTTTTAATTTTATTACAGAGACATCAACCCCCATATTCCTCAGTATATTTCTTCAGTGCCATGGTATATTGATCCTTCAAAAAGACCTACTTTAAAACACCAGAGACCACAACCAGAGAAACAAAAGCAATTCAGCTTATCTGGAGAATGGTACAAGAGGGGTGTAAAAGAGGTATGTAGGCAACCTGTGTATATCTTCATGGATATGGAGAGTTTAAGAACTTAATGCAGGAACTTTAAATGCAATGCTAATTAAAGTAGAAACAGATAATATAACCTTTTATCTGATATTGAAATTCACAGTGCATTACTACTTTTATCTTTGTACTTCTTATATAAATTTTATACTCCTGAAGTCGTTAAACTTTCATATTTACGAATGTGTGGAAACTCTTAACTCATTTTCCTTTTAACAAAGAAATCATTTCATTTCACTAGACAAAATAGTAATGAGAGCCGAAGTTATTTCTAACTTACTTGGTTAAGACATTGTCTTTGTTTTTCTTTATATATATTTATAGAATTCCATAATTACTAAGTACCGCAAAGGAGCGTGTGAAAATTGTGGGGCTATGACACACAAAAAGAAAGACTGCTTTGAGGTAAGGTCACCTGGAGAATTTTGAAAACCATTGTCAGAGTCTTTCTTTTTTCTTTGTCAGAGAGCTTACTTCAATTTTTCTGCGGTCACCTATATTTAGGTACTAGTTAAAAATTAATTTGAGTGGAATTGGTTCAATACCAACAAAATTTTTTACTGTAAGACTGATTATTGAGTAGATCATAAAGTCCCATGATATATTCATACCTGCTCTGTAAAAGCTGTATAAAGTTTCCCTTTGGGCCATAAACACTTAGGAAAAGATGAAATCTTACTCTCTTTTTAGAGACCTAGGCGAGTTGGAGCCAAATTTACAGGTACTAATATAGCTCCAGATGAACATGTCCAGCCTCAACTGATGTTTGACTATGATGGGAAGAGGGATCGGTGGAATGGCTACAATCCAGAAGAACACATGAAAATTGTTGAAGAGTATGCCAAAGTTGATCTGGTGAGCAAAATTCCTTGCTTTCCTGCTGTTTTTAAAGAATCATCCTTTTGCTGTCTATCTAATTTAGCAGCTCTGTGTTTCAAATCTTGAAGCCCTTTAAAAATGGTAGCATTTTTCATAATAGTAGTAGTACTACTGTATAGGCTACCTTTGTAATTGTAATGTTAAATAGAGGAAATAGTGTGCTAGCCATATTGCCCAGCAGTTTCTTCTTCTTTGATTCTTACATTGTCCTTTACTCCCTGACTTAGGTAGCAACAGATATTGGAAGCATGAGGACAGATTAGTGTCCAAAGCTTTTGGTTTTTTGAGGTTAGAAATGTATGGCCCCCAGGCTATAGCTTGTCCTTGAACCTATATTATAGTTGCCTCACATAGCATTTGGGAGCAGTAGAAAGGAAATGGATAATTTGTTTCAGAAAATTTTATTTTAACCCAACTTCAGTTTTTACTGTTATGATTTCACCTATTCACCCGTACTTCTTTGAAGCCATAGTTACACTGCTTTTTAAAAAAAATTAGAGATGTAAGTGACAATTTGAATGTTATAAGTAAAATTTTAATGTTTCCTTTTTCTTTCTTTCTTTTAAAGGCAAAACGAACATTGAAAGCCCAGAAACTCCAAGAGGAATTAGCCTCAGGAAAATTAGTGGAACAGGCTGTAAGTAATGGAATGATCAATAAAATCAATTTTTAAAAGTTAAAACTCTTAAACAAAGAAATGGAAATTGAAACAAGAATTCATTTTATAGATCTTCAGTTAGAAAGAGAGAAATGCTATTGGGGGAAAAAGTAAAACTGATACTTTATATACAGTTTATTGTAATATAAATTGATGCAGTCAATTTGGGAACAGTACTGCCACTATTTCTATTTAGACACAAACACACAGACATACATGAACCCAGTAACATTTTCTTTTTGGACTTACTAGGAAACTAGGAAGGTTTAATAAATCTGATATGTCTGAAGACTAACACATTTAGAATTTATATTTATTGGGTACTTTGGTCATCTTAATCTTCCTTTTACCATTCTCTGGTTGTAATCTTATATCAATTAAAATTCTCTTGAAAGTTGCTGGCTTTATAGACAGTCTAATAAAATTATTCACAATGGCACACGTATTCAGAATTTGTGTGCTCATTACAACTGAGAAATGTGAGAATTTGTTTAGTTAGAATTAAGTTTTATTGTCAACTATATTTTTTAAGTGTTAATTGGATTAAGAAGAATGAAATAATGAATTCTTTTTATTCTTTCATGATACAGAATTCTCCAAAACACCAGTGGGGAGAAGAGGAACCAAATTCTCAGACGGTAATACATATTTGCTGTCTCTGAGTATATGTTACGTTTTAAAATTTCTGATGACTAATAATAAATAATACTAACAGCTTTTAAAGAACACAAGTAAATAAGGGTTTGGTTAAAGGGGGGAAAAAGGAAACTACATGCTGCTTTCTTCTTACTTTATTTTCCCCTCTCCCTCTTTTTAGGAAAAAGACCATAATAGTGAAGATGAGGATGAAGATAAATATGCAGATGATATTGACATGCCTGGACAGAATTTTGACTCCAAGAGGCGAATCACTGTCCGGAATCTCAGGATTCGAGAAGATATTGCAAAAGTAAGTCTTGTTAACATACATATTTGAAAAATATTTGTCTTCTCAGCCTAAATTTTACCTACTCCGGGTAGCATATGGATAATATAGTCAGAGTCATTCTAAAATACGGTTTCGTTCTGTTTTTCTCTTCACCTGTATCTCAGAAATGTATACACACATTTAAATGATTATGTTCAACTCTCCAGCTAGTCTGCTGAAATTCCTGTGAGTAAACATTAATTTATTCTTTAATTTTTTTTTTTTTTTTTTAGTATTTGAGGAATTTAGATCCAAATTCTGCCTACTATGATCCAAAAACTAGAGCAATGAGAGAGAATCCTTATGCCAATGCAGGAAAGAATCCAGATGAGTAAGTATCAAGTTAAATGTAGAGATTTCAAGATGAGGGAAAGTTAATTGTTTTCTGACCTGACCATAGATGGTGGTCATTTTAATTCAGATTCAGTTTTACAAATTAATTTTCCTTAAATCAATCTCTGAAACATTTTTTTACTTGTATTTACAGAGTGAGTTATGCTGGAGATAACTTTGTTAGGTACACAGGAGATACCATTTCAATGGCTCAGACACAGTGTGAGTATTTGCTCTATGTCAAGGCATTTTATATTAGCTCATAAGATGTTTGGGAATGTTTTTTAAAGCTTGTTTTCAAGAAGCATACAATAAGGTAGCTGGCAATTCATGAAAATATTTTGAATTACTCTAGTGTTTGCCTGGGAAGCCTATGACAAGGGATCTGAAGTGCATCTACAGGCAGATCCTACAAAGCTAGAGCTATTGTATAAGTCCTTCAAAGTCAAAAAAGAAGATTTCAAAGAACAGCAGAAAGAAAGCATCCTGGAAAAGGTAATTTTGACCAAAATGCTGAAGAAGAACTTCTGTTACAGAGAAGTTACTCTTCAGTAAGCAGTAGTTTTACATTTGGAAAATAACGCAAAGAGAATCCCTCTTAATCCATGAAGAAGAGTCCTTTTCTTCCTTTGTCTTAGAGGATATACAATTTTTGTATCAACTTTTGTGGCAAAACAAACTACCTCAAATCTTAGTAGCTTAAAATAAACATTTGTTATTTCTCACAGTCGGCCGGGTCTCCTGTTCTGGGCTTGCTCAGCTGAGGTTCAATGATGAACTAAGGTGGCCTCACTCTGGTGTTTAGCAATTAACAGGCTAATTGTCCTAAGGGGACCTCTTCTGGGACAGCTTATCGCCACCCAATGTAGTCTTTCATCCTCTAGTAGGGTAGCACAGCTTTTTTAAATGGCATTCTCAGAGTTCTAGAGAGTGGCAGCAAAAAGTGTGCTGTAGTACATAAGTGCCTTTGCTTGGGTCACATTTGCCTACTTCCCACTGGTCAAAGCAAGTAATGTGGCCAAGCCCAGATTCAAGGGATAGATAAAGACTTTGTCTCTTCATGGGAAGAACAGCAAAGCCATGTGGCAAAAGGGCATGCATACAAGGATAAGGGGAATTTATGGCCATCTTGTAACTTACTGTACTCAACAGATGCATAGCAACTGAGATATCGGTTTGCCTCTGAAAAGATTGGTGGCTTTTTTTTTCCTACTGTGCTTTCTACAACAAAACCCAGTAGAGAGTGTTCCCTTTCTTTCTGATTAGAAATAGAAATTCTCCTGGAAATTTAAATGCAAATCAGGTTGTAAAATGTATTGAATAATGTCCATTGTCCTTTTAGTATGGTGGCCAAGAACACCTGGATGCCCCTCCAGCTGAATTGCTTTTAGCCCAGACTGAAGACTATGTGGAGTACTCAAGACATGGGACAGTCATCAAAGGACAGGAGCGGGCTGTTGCCTGTTCTAAGTATGAGGAGGATGTGAAGATCCACAATCACACAGTATGTGCTAAACTGGAACAATTTTGTGTTCTTGTTTTGCTCTGTATTGCATTTTTCCTTTACAACTTTATTAACTAACCATTTCTATGCTCTATGCTTAAAAAAAAATTTTAACTCTGCTTCATGGAGTTTTTTCAAAAATAGAAAAATTTTGAAGGAATACTATGTTCATCTATATACTCATTAACTGAAATCCAAAATGTGTAACATATTGCCTTATGTGCTTTGTCTAGTTGTATGTGTACATATGCACAGTTTTACATGCATATGTAAAATGCACATAAATATATACACACATAGTTTATACATTTATTCGACTGAAATATTTGGAAATTATATATGACATTTTATCCATAAATGCTGTATCACATACCTCCTTAAAAATGAGGATTTTTCTTCTATATAACCACATTAACATTATTACACTTCAGAAAATTAACATTAATTCTATAATATCTAATATCCAATCATTAATCACATTTTCCAAAGTATACAGAAAAATGCCTTTAACACCTATTTTTTGTTTTAGTCAGAATCCATTTCAAATTTATTTTGATCATTATTTGGTTATTATTGTATCTCTTTTCTAGAGTTTATCTCTTCATTTTCCTGACAGTGACCATTTAACAGATTAGGCCAATTCGTTTGTGAATTGTCTCATATTCTGTATTGACTGGTTCCTAGTAGTGTTATGTAACTTGTTTCTCTATCCCCTGTATGTTTTATAAATAGAAATTCAGGTCTAACAGCTTGATTGGATGTAAGTTAAATATTTTGACAAGAATATTTAATAAGTAATATATATTCACATTGCATCACAAGCATCATAAAGCATATATTGTCCTTTGCTGTTCTCTTAAAGTAACCAAACTACAATTGTCTCTCTTTTTTTTTTTTTTTTTTTTGAGACAGAGTTTCGCTCTTGTTACCCAGGCTGGAGTGCAATGGCGCGATCTCGGCTCACCGCAACCTCCGCCTCCTGGGTTCAGGCAATTCTCCTGCCTCAGCCTCCTGAGTAGCTGGGATTACAGGCACGCGCCACCAGGCCCAGCTAATGTTTTGTATATTTAGTAGAGACGGGGTTTCACCGTGTTGACCAGGATGGTCTCGATCTCTTGACCTCGTGATCCACCCGCCTCGGCCTCCCAAAGTGCTGGGATTACAAGCTTGAGCCACCGCGCCCGGCCTACAATTGTCTCTCTTAATTGAGGGTCAAAAACCTAACTCCCTGTAGGAGCCAGGCCAGTAATCATATATGAGTGAAGTGAGCCAGGCAAATTGTACGTACTGGAGAACACAGCCCTATCTTTTTTTTTTTTTTTTTTTTTTTTTTTTTAAAAGACAGAGTCTCCTTCTGTGACCTGGGCTGGAGTACACTGGCACAATCTCGGCTCACTGCAACCTCCTTCTCCCTGCCTAAAGCGATTCTCCTGTGTCAGCCTCCCAAGTAGCTGGGATTACAGGCACACACCACTACACCCAGCTAATTATTGTATCTTTAGTAGAGACAGGGTTCGCCATGTTCATCAGGCTAGTTTTGAACCTGACCTCATGATCCTCCTGCCTTGGCTTCCCAAAGTGCTGGGATTACAGGTGTGAGCCACTGCACCCGGCCTCACAAGCCTTATCTAATAGGGGCATCCACTGTTCAGCAATAGCTGATTATCGCCAAGTGACTATGTAGGCCCAGAATTTCCCAGTCCTTAATTTTTCAAGAGAAATCAGATATCCTAAATTTTTTTATAGGCTTTTGGGAATAGAATTTAAGAGCTTTGTAACTATAGCGCCTGCTTCTCACACTTCAGATCAGACTACCTTCTCCCTGTTAGCCAGCTTTGAATCCCCAGAATTTTTCTCCCAAATTACCTTAAAAGTGCTATATTATTTTATACTCCTATCAACAGTATGCAGAAGTTTCTAATTTCAGCTTCCTTTTTAAGTAATTTCTCTCTCTGCAGCATATCTGGGGATCGTACTGGAAAGAAGGCCGATGGGGATACAAGTGCTGTCACTCTTTTTTCAAGTATTCCTATTGTACCGGAGAAGCTGGAAAGGAGATTGCTGTAAGTCATAGTCTTTGGTTCTTAAAGGTATAAAACAACCAAAGCTCATAAGTCAAACTAAAACATACTGTCTCATGTTTCAAATCTTAATTTTTTCTTAGATGATGAGTAACTATTACTCAACTCAAATTACATGTTTTTTTCCCCACAGAATTCTGAGGAATGTATTATAAATGATGTAACTGGGGAAGAATCTGTGAAAAAACCTCAAACCCTCATGGAGGTAAGTTGATAATCATTTGTCCTGGAGTCGTGGCTTTAAAACTTGCACCACAGCTTTTTTCTTTTCTTTTGAGACAGAATCTCATTCTGTCGCCCAAGCTCTATTGCAGTGGCACCATCTGAGCCCACTGCAACCTCCACTCCTGGATTCAAGTGATTCTCGTGCCTCAGCCTCCCATAGTCCACCCAAGCTTTGTTTTCACATTAATAACACTTCATTTCAATCCTCCCTTTCAGCTGCATCAAGAAAAACTAAAAGAAGAAAAGAAGAAGAAGAAAAAGAAAAAGAAGAAGCATCGAAAGAGCAGTTCAGATAGTGATGATGAAGAAAAGAAGCATGAAAAATTGAAAAAGGTAATTTGCGAAGCCTAAATAGTAAAACTGACAAGTAACAGTATTCTTTGTTTTTTGGGTTGTTTTTATTTTTTTGAGATAGGGTCTTGCCCCGTCACCCAGGCTGGAGTGCAAAGGCGCAATCTCAGCTCACTGTAACCTCCACCTCCTGGGCTCATGCAATTCTCCTGCCTCAGTGTCCTGAGTAGCTACGACTACAGGAACATGCCACTGTGCCTGGCTAATTTCTATATTTTTTTATAGAGACAGGATTTCACCATGTTGCCTAGACTGGTCTCAAACTTCTGAGCTCAGGTGAACCACCGACCTCATCCTCCCAAAGTGCTGGGATTGCAGGTGTGAGCCATCACTCCTGGCCAGTATTATTTGTGAAGGCCTTTATTTATAATGGCCTATGGTCTAGCTCTGTCTCCAAATGCATTTTTAAAATGATGATACAAGCCTAGAGTCTGAGTGATTTGCCCAAGTCATATTAATGGAGATATTGTGGGGTGTAGGTATTACCTTCTTCTTGGAGTACTTAATATTATGACTAATGGACAGAAGAAATATGCTTTATAAAGCATTTTTAGAGTTATTGTCATGTTGACCACAAAGAATTCTCTTCTAGCTCCATAATATGTAAGTTTCAGCAAGTCTTTGAGAAAAGTCACAATTGTAGTCTCCACCAGAAGTATCATTTGTGAGCTTGTATCAGTAAAGTGAACCTCATTTAATTTTTGTTATTAAATAAAATGTCTTCAACGTTAATTAAAAATGTTATAGAATGTGTTGTGCTCTATAAAAATATCATATGAACCAAATAGTGATCAGTTGTAGCTTAACAGTGGAAGGGCTGACTCCAAAGCTCTTTCAGGCAATCTGGGTTTTTGATAGAGCAGTTCATATTCAGTGGAGTCTTTTGGTACTCGGCCACTCGTGGAGAAAAGAGATCTGATGTAGAGCTGTGATACGCATTTCATTCCTCTCGCCGTAGGCACTGAATGCAGAGGAGGCCCGCCTTCTTCATGTCAAGGAGACCATGCAGATTGATGAGAGGAAGCGGCCCTACAATAGCATATATGAAACTCGGGAACCTACTGAAGAGGAAATGGAGGCCTATAGAATGAAACGTCAGAGACCAGATGATCCCATGGCCTCTTTCCTTGGACAGTAGGAACTAGTCAGAAGACCATCCAAGACAGATGCAGCTGATAACATTCAGCAAGAAGATTCAGCTTCTTGCTGATGATTGTAGATAGAAAAATCCTTGTCTACTCTTCTTGCTGCCTGGCTTTAATAAATCTTTCAGATGTCTCACAGTAAGTTCACTCCTTTCCATACTGAAGGAACAAAAAGAAGAATAAAAAGAAGAGGCACATGAAGTCTGCTTTTGGGAATAAAATTCAAAATTCGATTAAGATTTTATTTCTAGTTTTATGTGAGTCATGTAGAAAGAGGCCTTGGCTCTCTACCTATCAAGAATGTCTCCTTCTCTACATGTATTAAGCTTCAAACTGTATTGCTTCAATTTTTGTGGACCTATATTTAGTATTAGCATACCTTGGTTTTGAGAAAAAAGGGGATTCATTTTTTAAAAATAATTACTAGCAACTCTATGTTCTTTTTTGTTTTTAGAAGTAGGATCTTTCTATGTTTCCCAGGCTAGAGAGCAGTGACTTTTCACAGACATGATCGTAAAACACTGCATGCAGTCTTGGGCTCAAGTGATTCTCTCTCCTTGGCCTCTGAGTAGACTAATTGAATGGAAAACAACTATTTTCTCATCATTGGGTCGATACTGACTGATCAGTAATAAGTCTTTTACCATTCTGGACATAAGCCTTTAGATGTAGAAATTCTTTCCTTTATCATAGAGGATATGGTTTACAATACTATTTGTTTTCCTTATGATTGCCTTTATTTACCAATCATGAATATTAGATTTTTTTAATTGTAGAATATCCTAATATTTATAGCCAGGAGCTGTTACTTTGTAAAATTTGCAAAAAAAAAAAAAAAAACCTAAAGTTGGTTTCTTCAAAGAATTATAAGAATAGCTTGTAGGGATATTAGTAATAGTTTGCTATGATCCTGAAGCCTCTTCTCAGAACATTGTGAAGATAATACTGACACAGTGGAATCAGTGAAAGCAGCCTAACAAAACCTCTGACATGAGTATATCAACTTTTTGTTTCTTTTTGAGACAGAGTCTCACTGTTGCCAGGCTGGAGTACAGTGGCACCATCTTGGCTCACTGCAATCTCTGCATCCCGGGTTCAAGCGATTCTCCTGCCTCAGCCTTCCAAGTCGCTGGGATTACAGGCATGTGCCACCACACCCAGCTAATTTTTGTATTTTTTAGTAGAGACGGGGTTTCATCATGTTGGCCAGGATGGTCTCGATCTCCTGACCTCATGATCCACCTGCCTCGGCCTCCCAAAGTGCTGGGATTACAGGCGTAAGCCACAACGCCTGGCAAATATATCAACTTTTAACAGCTCACTGGCTTTTCTCAACTACCAAAAACCACCTGTAGGATACTGCATTAAGTCAGAATCTCAGAAATGGTAGTGTGAGAGTAACTGAATCAAATTGCCAAGCACTTTGGATATACATGGTTTCTAGCTTTAGATTGGTGTGAAATTAAACAACAGTGCAAGTAGACTTAATTCTTACTTTAAGAATGCAAAAAATGTTCATATTCCTACCTAAACAGGGTGGTTCCACATAAAGGCTGACATTGTTGTATCTGTTTTGTATTTTATCTTTTGTTAAAGATATATAAATGACAATACTTAACTGTGAGTGGTTTGTAGCATTATTTCTAATACTTGACAGAAAAGTTGTATGGGACAGGGAGGGAACCTGGATTTGCTTCTGTGAGTTTAAGAAAATTTCAGCATCCTGTCATCAACCTTTCTGGACCTCTTTCCCTCTTCTGTTAGGCCTAGTTTACTTTGATTTAGGAAGAATTCTCTAATATCCAGAATCATATCTTCTGTTTTATTGGTAATGCCTAGCCAGCCTGGCCAACATGGCAAAACCTTGTCTCTACTAAAAATACAAAAATTATCTAGGCATGGTGGCACATGCCTATAATCCCAGCTACTCAGGAGGCTGAGGCATGAGAATTGATTGAACCCGGGAGATGGAGGTTGCAGTGAGCAGAGATCACGCCACCGTACTCCAGCCTGGGTGACAGAACAAGACCCTGTCTCAAAAGAAAAAAGTAATGCCTAGGACATTACTCAGATTGATCTCAATAACAGCTGCCTTTGAGTACGGGAACTATGTACTGTAATTGTCATAATGTTATCTCCTTCCTCTAAAGAAATTCATGGGGTAATGGATGATATATCAATTTTACAATAAGCACATGGAATTAACTCCCAAGTAATCTGCACAAATCCTAACAGTTGTTAAGTGTTGGAGCCAGGACATGAAGCTAGCTGTCTCTGAATCTGAAGCCTACCCCTTTCTCTAGTATTTAAGGCCCTAGTTTCTTAAACAAGGCTGGTCATTTGCAGTTTCTTCCATCCACAAAAAACTTAAGCTAGCCCTTCAGTACTTACCAGGCTCACACTCAACACCTGAAAATGATGTATCTGGCCCACATTTTTTGACACACCACCACTCCTCACACACACCAGCCTTATGGAATGCTTTTAACAAGATTGTACAAAAATGAATAAACTCGTTAAGTTTATAAGAATTCTGGAAATAAATATCCCCAAACAGTAAAGGACTATATTCTGGTTAATTTATTTCAACAATGTTTCCTAGTTTCTACTTGGGATTTTTCTCTCAGACCTCTAATAATGGGTTTATTTCTTTGAAATGATGTTGTTGAAAGAATTTTAAATAAAAATCTTTCCTCTGAGATGGATGATGACGACTAGGAAATTCATCGCCATGTTCCCATTTATGGGAAGTGAGGGGATCACCCTGCATGGGCAACAGTACACGAGCTATGGAAGCTCATCCTCCACTGCCGAAATGTTTAATCTGAGATTACAATGAGCGTCCTTCTCTTTTTTTCTTATTTATTCCACATGGAATGTGGTAATTATCAAGTTGTATCTCCAAGCTCAAAGCCAGGCACAAAGTTTGAGTGCCCTGCATGTTAAAAAGAACTATGTGGACTTTACAGTTCCTTCCATTCCTGAAATTCTACGGTTCATCCTTTCTGGCAGACACAACAAACAATTTCCAGTCCCACGTATGCAATCTTAAAAAAAAAGAAAAAAAAGAAAAAAAAAATTGGGGAGGGCCAGCGCGCACGCTCAATACTCAAGCCCGCCAGCCTGTCCCACAGCCAGTTGCTCCTGCGCCTGCGTGCGGGAGACGCCTCGCCCAGGTTGCGGGCGGGAAGCAGCCTGGAGAACCCGGATGGAACCCGGGCCTGGCTGATTAGGAGTTTGCTACGGATGCTTCTCTCTCCAAACGCACCGCAGATTCCTGTTCGAGGGTGGGACCTGCGGAACCATCGCCCGCCCAGACTGGTTCCGACGGCGACAGGCCGGGCCCTAGACTGAGCGGAGAGCGGAACTGGAGCCTGAAGCGGGCGCCCCAAAGAAGCCCGAGCATCCCTTGGGCCTGAGCCTTAGGCTCGGAGACCGGCGGGCGGAGACCGCGCTGAGTCTTTTCTTTCCTCGCCGCTGGCGTTCTTAGCTCACCCCGGAGGCTCTAAAAATCTGCGTCCTTAACAGTACCACCACCAGGCCCTATCAGTTCAGAGCTGCGTGTTGTTTGCATGCATTCTTATAATTAAACGTCCCAACAACCCTGGAAGGTAGGTACTGCTACCCCTCTGGAGAAACTGAGGCTTGGAAAGAGCCCAGCTTGTAAGCGACAAAGCCACGATCCCAGGCGTTTGCCCCTGGAGCGTCTGCCCAGCCACCAGGTTCCTGCCCGCTTTCTCCTGGCTGTCGATTTTCACTGTAAAACGTAATGGTTCAATGCTCTGCCTCCTGGAACACCTGCGCCTGCCGTGGTCTTGCATCTATCGCAGCGGCTAGATAGAAGTTGAATTCTATTTGGAGTTTTAGGTTTACAACTGCACTTTGCCGTTTTCTATATATATTAGCATTCCGTAACTGCTTTGAGTGTTCACTTTTAACTGATTTTTCTCAGTTGTGATACTTTTTCATATCTACCCTTCATAAACTTGCAAAAGTATTTTACTTTGTTATAGCAGATCTAAGCATCTGAAGATAATCTCTCAAAAGAATCATTCTTAAAAATGAATGATGCCTATTTAAAAATAATGCTTTTTATTTTTTTATTATTGGAAGTTTCCGACATACATAAAAATAGATCAGTGTAATGATGTGTAACCCATCATCCAGCTTCAAGAGTTACCAACTTAAGGCCAGTTACTTCTTTTATTTCCATCCCGCTTTGTGCATGTTTGTGAGTGTATGCTGAAGTAGTGTATTTAAAAAGAAATCCCAGACATCTTATCATTTCATTTGTAAATAATTGTCTGTATCTAACAAATAAGGTATTTTAAAAACACAACCACTATACCGTTATCAGGCGTGTTTAACAATAATACCTTATGATGATGATGCTTTTTTAATGTTTACATTTTTTAGGATATTGTAATTCCTAAATACCACAAAAGCGCAGATTGTAAGGTTCTAAAAACACAAGCCTCTTGGGCAGTAAATTCATCTTTGAGGCTCTTGAAAATTCTTGCCATCTATTCTCCCATTTTGAGGGGGCTGGAGAAGAATACTATAAATTGATTTTCCTAAAACTTCTTTTGTACATAACAGATAAATTTTAAATTAAAATATATTTGAGATACATAGTCAAGGTGGATAGGAATGGACTCTTAACAGATTTTGTAATGATTTCCAGGTTTTTTTGTTTTGCTTTGTTCTATTTGTTATGTTTTTGAGACCGTCATCACTCTATCACCCAGGCTAGAGAGTGCCGTGGCAGTCATCTCGGCTCACTGCAATCTCCGCCTGCCAGCTTCAAGTGATTCTCCTGCCTCAGCCTCCCGAGTAGCTGGGATTACAGGAGCCCGCCACCATGTCCAGCTAATTTTTGTATTTTTAGTAAAGACAAGGTTTCGTCGAGTTGGCCAGGCAGGTCTGGCACTCCTGACCTAAGGTGATCCACCTGCCTCGGCCTCCCAAAGTGCTGGGATTATGGGTTTGAGCCACGGTGCCTGGCCTTTTTTTGAGACGGAGTCTGGCTCTCTCACCGAGGCTGGAGTGCAGTGGCGTGATCTCAGCCCACTGCAGCCTCCGCCTCCTGGGTTCAAGCAATTCTGCCTCAGCCTCCCGAGTAGCTGGGATTACAGTTGTGCGCCACTACATGCAGCTAATTTTTGTTTTTTTGT